CAGAACCCAAACCCAGCCCGTCTCTCTCCCCTCCTCTTTCCTCCACTTCTTCCCCAAAGAAAATAAGCGACGAACAACAACAACAACATAAACAACAACAACAACAACATATGTCCCCTCCGATGGCCACGATCATGCTCGTCCGCTCGAGATCGGACGGCGACATCGACGCCTTCTCGGCACGAACCAAACAACGCAAGGAGGATCTAATCGGGCCCGTCTCGAAACAGAGGTTGACCCGAACCTCCTCGGGCCTCCAGATATCCACCATCAGCGTCTGCCAGTACACGACCGTCGCCGACGGGCCGAGGACCAAATCCGGAGACGCCGCCACGCAGTCGCCTCCGGCGAACAACGGTACGATCGGGTCGTTCTTCCTTATAAAAAACCTCGACACGGGCAAGGAGTTCATCGTGAAGGAGTACAACGAGCAGGGGATGTGGAACAAGCTGAGCGAGGTCGAGACGGGCAAGCAACTAACGATTGAAGAATTCGAGAAGTCGGTCGGGTACTCGCCCGTCGTCAAGGAGCTTATGCGACGGGGGAAGGTCGCACGGGACGGCAGCCGCAAGCTCAACGCTAACTCCCTCCTCACGAAGAGCTTTCGGAACAGCAAACGAAAAGGGGCAGCCCTTTTAAAGAACATAAAGGGTGTGGCCACCTCTATGAGTGGGCTAAGCAAGGAACATGAGCAAGAGCTGCAAGAGGAAATGAAGGGCCCAAACTCGAAGGCCACCACGTCTCAATGGGTGAAAGCCCGGCAGCACGGAAAATCGTACANNNGCCCGACAGCACGGAAAATCATACAAGGAGTTCACTGCCCTGCACATGTCGCAGGAGATCCAAGCCCACGAGGGGTCGGTTTGGACCATTAAATTCAGCCACGACGCGCGCCACCTAGCGAGCGCGGGGGAGGACAAGTCGATTCACGTGTGGGAGGTGCAGGAGTGCGAGGTCATGTCAGCCAGGACAGGGGACGAGCTTGCGAGCTCAGTTGGCGGGACACCGATTCACCCAGTGGCTTCCGACCACCGGCCGCCGCTGGCGGAGATAACACCGATGCCATCTGAGAGGAAAAAGAAAGGCAAGAGCAATAGGAAAAAGGGGAGCTCGATACCGGATTACGTGAATGTGCCGGATATGGTTTTCGGCCTCTCCGAAAAACCGGTTTGCACTTTCAGGGGTCATCAGGATGATGTCTTGGATCTGTCGTGGTCGAAAAATAATCAGGTCGGCTAATTTTTCCCTTTTTTTAACTCGCGATTTTAGTCGTATATACATCATCTTCTCTGTTTAGTCATTTTAAACGAAGAGAAGTGTTCGGATAACACCCAATGCAGCTACTGCTATCTTCTTCGATGGATAAGACTGTACGACTATGGGATTTCGAAACAAGAACCTGTCTGAAAATGTTCGCCCACAATGACTATGGTGAGTTGCCGCGCAATAAAAACTATTAATGCAATTTTGTTGATCACGAATCAAAATAGCTAACGAGTATTTCAATATGATTTTGATGTGGCAGTAACTTGCATACAGTTCAATCCAGTAGAGGAAGACTATTTCATTAGTGGCTCGCTTGATGGAAAGGTTCGAATATGGAACATTCCAAACCGGCATGTGGTCGACTGGACGGACCTTCACGAAATGGTTACTGCTGCTAGCTATACTCCCGATGGCCAGGTAGTTATGTGAAAAAAATCTTAGAGTAATTTCATCGTGTATTTTCTTGAATTTCAAAATGGTCCATTGAGATTCGATTAGTGTACATTGTGGCCCAAATTGCTTGTTGAGCTGACGAAATTTTTGCACGTAATCCTTCGAAGGGTGCTGTGATCGGTTCTCATCAAGGGTTCTGCCGATTTTACAGCATCGATGGTAAGAACAATTTGCGAAAAACTCCATTGAATATCGGATATTTTCGGATATGCCTTATCATTTTTGCACACTTGCTTTCTATTGGCAGATTGTAAATTGGAACACAAAGAAGATGTACAGATGAAGGTGAAGTCACAAGCTAAAAAACTCCCTGGTTTTCAATCTCAGCCTCAACCCAAGAAAATCACCGGTTTTCAGGTACTTTTAACTTTGAACAAAACATACTCTTTCGTTTTCCTCACTCGACAAAAGTCGACATTTTCTTACGATGTTTTGTGCCCACAGTACGCGCCATGGAATCCTTCTGAAGTATTGATAACTTCGACCGACTCCCGAATCAGAATCTACAACGGCACGGAGCTGGTTCAAAAATACCGAGGTACGATACGAGTCTAATAAACACGAAAGGCAAAACCGGGACCAAATAGCATGATTTTCACCGTGATTTTTGTTTTACTTTTTATATTTTGCTAGGATTTCGAAACACGAGCAGCCAGATGGCGGCCTCGTTCACTCCGGACGGGAAACACATAGTCAGTGCCAGCGAGGACTCGCAGGTCTACATATGGAAAGTTGAGGAGTCCAAGAATCCGGCGGCCACCAAGAGGCGGCCGGCCAAGGTCACGGTCATGGCCCACGAGCACTTCCCTTGTAAGGATGTCACGGCTGCCGTCCCCTGGCCTGGCAGCAGCAGAAATGAGCCTCCGATAGTTGAGATCCGATCCAAGCGCCACCACTCCAGGAGGGCCCCACCTCAAAACGACGATGACGGTGGCGGTGGGAAGGGGAGCAG